TGATTAAATAAATCATTCTTTGATTTGAATTTGATTAAATCAAATATTCAAATATCAAATCAAATTGCGGAACCCTACCGATAGGGACGAAAAAGAAAGTTAAACTCATATTGGAGAAGTGTTTAGTGAATAATTTAAAACCCATTTTGAAAAAGATTTGGTTAGCATAATGAAACTTTCCAATTGATATTAATAGAAGAAAATCATTATTAAAATTTAAAATTTATGTTTTTTAGTATCATATGTATAAGAAAGAAGGCTTGCAAGATTAGCTGAAAGAGAAACAGGAAAAATAGCTCAAGAAAAAGAAAATTTCGTTCAAGGTAAAAAATTTATTTAGTTAATATTAATATTATTTTAACCTAAATTTAAATTTTAAATTTTTTAGAATCTTTAACTCCTCTTCCTTATAATTTCTCTCAATCTGAAACCCAAAATAACCCTTAATAATCTGCTTTTTATTTTCTTTTTCAACTATTATTATTCTTTTTTCAACTATTTTTATTTTTTTTCACATTTCATAATTTTAACTAGTCTCTCTTTCCTTTATTTTTCTATTATCTTCACTTATCCCTTTTTACTTAGATCTTTTATAATTTTTTTTCAAATTCCATTAAAAAAAACCTGAACGAAGTTTGCTACCTCTACGTCAGGATCAACAGATATAAGTTAATCTATTTCTGGCTAAAGCAAGCATATCTTTGTAACTTTAATTCATTAGTTATTTATTTAAATTTATTTGTTTTATATTACAATATTCCAAACTTATTATCATATATTGAATTTGAATATGATATTTGGTATTAGTAAAGATTTTACTGAATTTCTCATCATAACGATTTGTGGATTTTAGAAATGAAGATTTGTTATAATGAGATTCAACTATAGTAATAAAATGGTTTGCTAATATAATAAATTAATAAATTTTAAATGTGATTATATGCAATAATTTTTAAATATAAGATTTTTAAGAATAGGTGTAATAGTGATTATAGACAGAAAGTGACTATATAAAATAGATTATATATATATAATTTTAGGACAGTTGACTAGTATGACTATATAGGTGAATATGATTATAACAGGGTGACTATAGGAAGAATTGACTGTATAGTGATAGGTTTTGGATACCTTTTTTAATTTTAGACAAGGTTTTGAACATATAAAATTGTGTTTAAAACCTGTCCAGAATTATCTAAAATTGTTTAATTTCCTAATACTGTACTAATATGTATATAAATCTAGTTGATTGATCAATTGATTAATATTGATTATGCTTAAATACTGTAGGTATTAGAATATATGATATAAATGAAGTCAAAGATCAATAAAAATTAGCCTTTGCTAATTAGTTTGTAATAGATACAATCTTATTTCTCATACTGCAAGTGATTAATTAAATTTAGTAAATTAAGTTCCAATAATAAATAGATTGTATTACATATCACAATAATAACTAATTTAGTTATTACTAAGATTCGATGTTAGGTTTAATTTCTAAGTTTTTCAATTATTTAAGTATCAATATTACTTGGTTAATGTGATTTATATATGTAACTAAAGATCACATTTGAACAAATCTTATGATATTATTCTATGAACCTTGTAGCTTTCTATATAGTAGTAATCAAGTTAAACTAAGTAATTAGATATTAGCAATAGTTTAATAGATCATTGATAAAAATAGTGATGATGTTTACTATGACTGAAATGGTTTCTATTCAATTTTAACAGTTTTTTGATATTAAGGTATCTAATTCATATTATAACAAGTGGTTTAAGATACCAGTTAGGATATCATACCTTAAAAAATACCCAGACATATTAAGAAGATTGATTTAATATATAACTTGAAATATAGAATAATATTTGAGATCAATTATCACATAATATCAAATTAATGATACTAAATGTTTTGATACTTGAAATTTATATAAGGCTACTGGTTAACATTAAAGTACTTTAAAAAAATATTAATAATAAGATGATATATTATAAAATTTTAACTAACTAAATTTATCGTTATGTTATAGATCAATATAAATCAAAAATTTAATTCTTAAAAAAAGTTTTTAGAATCCCATTTTTCTAGCAAACCTCCTATATAATAAATAATTATAATAATAATGAAAATTTTATTCTTCAAATTCTTATAATACCAATGTTTTTTTTATTACATTTTTTTATAATAATGATTAATTTGATTTGATTTAACCTAAATCGTTTTATTTTATTAATCTTTTTTTTTAAAAAAAAATAAATAAAATAAAATAAAAATAAATAAATAAATAATCATTTAATAAAATTTAGTATTTATAAAAATTATTATTTAAACTTTAATTCAAATATAAAAGTAAATTATATATATATTGATTTACAAATGCTAATACTTTTTTCAATATAACTTAAGATTATTTCCGGAAATTCTAAATTTATACAAGGGAAAAACAATTTTTTTTTCTTATATAAATAATTAAATCGGAAAAATAATATACAGTACAGAATAAGAATATATTTTTAAAAATAAAAACTCTTTCACCCAATTGCGCACACATATATTTGTTTATTCCTGTTGGATTTTGCTTCGAAAAAAATAATTTTTATGTTACAATAGCGAAGTAAAACCCTAAAGAATATTTGTAAAAATCATTAATAAAGAATAAACAATAATTCTTGATTATGAAAAGAAGGTTCATGTATATCAAACCGAGTCCTTTTTGAGGAAAATAGCAACAATGCTAATAAATAGCCAATTATCAGGAGTCAATCATGTTTCTTATGAATGTTATTAACAATAGGTGATGAAGTACCATTAATGACCACACCACTTTTTCCTCCGTTTACACCGATGGAAGTTACATCATTATTTCCATTTCCACCACCGATTTCACCCGTTGTATATCCATTATCTGATATCCGCCGTATCCATCCCATTTCTATAAAAAAGTCATATATTCTAGCCGTCTTGTTGACATCAATCCGTATAAGATCTCGTGCTTGACGTCTCCTCAGGGTCCCTCCCGATCTAGCCCATTCTTTTAGGATCGTCTCTTTTATTACTAGATAAGACTTTGGTAATATTCGTAAATTCTCACATAATTTTCGTTCAGCTTCAGATAACAAATGAACACCTTCTGCGTCATTAAGATCAAGTGCCGCTGGAATTTTTCGATTATTGATTCTGGTAGAAGAGGATGGAATCGTTTTGCAACCATATGGCGACGATAACGGAGATTGTTGCTGCTGCTATAATTTGCAACTTAATTCATTTATTTGAACATGCAATAACCATTATTTCAAAAGAAAAATTAATTATCTTACTGAAACAGACGATATTTTGGCCGCATATATTTTTGCTAAACGATCGCTGCTGGCTGAGACCGTAGACATAAATTGTCCATTATGCGGCCTGGCCGCTAGTTGGTTTGCCTCCTTATAAATCAGCCATGTATATAATATAAATAATAACGTTATAAATTCCAACCAGGAAAAAATGAAGCAAAGAATAAGCTGTTAGTGCCCGGTTTAAACTAACTGATCTTCCGTAGAGAGTAAAAAAGGCTACCTTTTGTGCCTTATCTACTTCATATTTGGTCGCTTCATTTTCGGTCAATATTCCCATTCGTCGATACTCTTGTAATTTTTCTATTTTTATTCGCGTGTTAAGTTCCTCTATTAATTAAACGATTTAATAAGCTAGGTTTCAAAAGGCAGTATAGTTTAAAAAAAAAAAATTTTTTTTTTGAATATATAAATAGTATGTGTGTACCTAGTAATTCGTCTCTTAAATCGTCAAAATCTTGTTTACTTAGCACTTGCGCAAATGGTTTGATTTTATTTATTAGTTCTTTTTCCTCTTTACTTTTATATTTCTCTTCTTCCATTGCTTTCTATAATGTATATAAAAAAATCATTATATAAAAAGTTCGAACAAAATTTCATCTAAAAATTAGCAAAATATTCTCAGGACATTACATTCTTTCTATAATCTAAAAGACCATGTTCAAATATTAATTTCTTTCTCTCAGCTCTCTTTTTCAATTTTTTATTATATATTTCTAATACGATTGTTTTCATTTCTGTGTATAATAATTGGCATTATTAGTAAGATGCAAATAACGAATAAAAAAGAAATTTATATGATACTACGAACCAGTATCCTTCGGATCATCTTGCTCATTAATTTCTAAATCTTTAATAACATGTTCTGCTTCATTATCATACTCATGTTCAAATTCCATTCGATTCGGCATAAAGCCGGTAATTTCATGATTTGCTGGTAAACTTTGCAACGGCTATTTAATAATGTCATCCGAAAATGGGAACATAAATTTCTAGGCTCAAAAAAAAAACATCATCACGTTAGAAATTAACCAACCTTTGTAAGAACTTTGGGTGGAGGATCTGTTATAAATTAAAATATAAATGTTAACAAGATATATAAGACAATTATATGTTGATTTAAGAAAAATTCATTGATACTTTGAGGTCGATTTTCAATTGTCACAACACGCCGTCGTTTTCTTTCTCTCATGGTCTCGTCATCAAGCTTGAATTTTACGTCCATATTCTAAATCATAATTTGGTTTTTTTAAAAAAAGAATAAAAGTATTTTCGTTTAAATAAATATATAATTTCAATTCAAATATTCATTTAATATATATTAAAAAAAAATTATGCCCAGCATTTTGATATTAAATATATAAAAAGTTATTTGATTAACCTCCAGATTTTTCTGAAAAAAATCATCAATATCCTCGACATTTTCTTCATAATAATTAATTAAATAAACCAATTACCGGTATTGGCCATGTTTCACTATTCTCATATATATCCATATAATGTTGTTCGCATTCTTCTTTAGTTTTACTCCCTATAAATTCTGCTATATCTTGCCAATTACCTAGTCCATGCATTTCAGCACCCTCGATCAATAATTCTTCTTCGTCTGCTCCCCAATCTTCTGTAAATAAAGGAAATGAGTATTGCTCCTAATAAAATGATAAATCGCAAGTAATTAAATCTTTGGCATATACACAGATTTATAACTAGGAATGAAAGATCGCATGTATGACAGTCTGCTCGAATTAGTAGTAAATTGACAAAAACTTCAGAAAAATGAATTACCAAAACTCGATAATCATGCGAACTTTTATGATTATCCGATTCTGCCCCGGAAGTAAAGCAAGTAACACATAAATCAAAGTCTTGACATTCGGCACAGTTTATTCGAACTGTATTGCCGATGTTGGCGTGACAAGTTTTACAGCGAAACATAGTTGAGTCTATATTTATTAACCGAAAGGAAATAAGTTAAAAAACGTATAGATCGTGGTGTAATAATTTAGTAAAAAAAATTTTTTTGATAGAATTATATATTGAAAAAAGGGAGAATGGTTTAAATTGTTAATAAAACTTAGCGTAGGCGAAAAAGTGAATGTTTTCACAGATCTCACCTTTCGCTTTTTATTGTATATAATTCAAAATGATATATACGCTATTGTATAATTTATTTAGAAAAATTTTGTTTTTATTATAAAAGATGTTATATAATTATGTCAAATACGAAATGTTTGTTTGTTATCGTACTACTTTCAATTCATTTACTTTAAGTGAAACTTGTAGTTTTATCAAAATAACCTTGACTAAAATTAGAATTGGCTAAACTTTTATGTAATATTACATGGTCATAGCTTCTTTTTTTTTTTTTATTTATAATAAATAAATAATTATATAATTATTATTTTATATTTAATAATATTAATTAATTAAAAGTTATTTAAATATATAGAAGAAACAAAAATATAATTTTTTTATTTTATATATTAAATATGATTTGTTGGTCTTTTTATTATAAAGATTTTATATTATTATTATATTATAGATTAATATTTTTAGTTAATTTTTTATTTAAATTTTTTGATTAAATTAATTTTAATATATATAATTTTAAAAAATTTATAAAAAAATATTTATTAATTATAAAATAACAAAAATAATATAATAATTTAAAAAAGAAAAATTTATAGTTAATTAAAATTTTATTAATTAAAGTTTATTCTTTTTGAAAAAATCTGTAATTAATATTATAATATTCAATTTTGTAACTAATTATAACTTTAAAATTATATTAAATTATTGTAATCTATTTTTAAATTTATATAATTTTATACTATTTATATTAATTTATATTTATAATTAATAATTTATATTTGTTATGTTTTAAGCATTTTAAAATAATTTTAAATTATTATATTAAGTTTTAATATTTTAAATAATATATAATTTTTTATGTAAATATAAAATTTATAATCAAAAAAATATTTTAATATTATAATTTATATTATTTTAAATTACAAAATATTAATTTTATTATTCTTTTAATGATTTTCCTTACAAAGTTAAAAGAAATTTATTTGTTAATAAATTAATTTTAAAAATATTGTTTTAATATAAAATCAAAAATTTAAATATTTTTTAATAAAATTATTATCTTTATAAAAGATAAAATTAAACTTTTATAAATATAAAAATCTATATTAATTATATATATTTTATATTATAATTATTAAAAATGAAATTTATATAAAAATAATAGATTTATAATATAGATTTATAATAAACTTTATAATATATTTTAACTAAAAATTAAGTTTTTATATAGAATGTTACATAATAATTAATTAAATTTGGATATAACATACATAACCTGATTTTTGTGATTTAATTATTGGAAGAATAAGACCTAATTTTATAACTTAAGAATAATACTTATTTGAGATGTTTTAAATATCACTAGCGTAATTCTATATTTTTTTTATTATCAATTATTTGATAAATTTGCAATATTATGAATGTAACTCAAGTTTGGATTGATATATCTGCTGTTAATCCAAAAGGTGAAAAAACTATTTATATTTGTGAAAGTGGTAATTAAAAAATTGTTTTACAATTGCAATCATACCTTCATATAGTCACCCTTTATATAAGCACAATCTCTGTATATTCACGATTTTTTTGTGCTAAAACCTTTATTTAATTAAGAAATTACCTTTATATAATCCACAATAGAATTATATTTTTTTTTTTAAAAAAAAACGATGAGGGTAATGACAAGAATTATAATCACTATCAATCTAGTCATTGAGACATAAAGGTAAAGATTCCTTTTAGTAAATAAAAAAACCTCCCATATAATCACATTCAATTCCGATAAATTAAAAGTCAGTCTTTATTTATTATGTAATAAAAAAAGCCTTTTTAATTTTCAAAATAACGACTTGAAAGCTTTTGTTTTTTTCCTTGGGGGTAATTGTTTTGGATTTTCAAAATTTATTGTAATTCTACTTTAGCTCCGTAAAGTTCATTTTTAATTGCAAGATGTCAATACTATGAAGATTAGTTAAATAATTGAACAAACTGTCTAGGATATTTTTGATTAATGTTTCCTTGTTCATGGGTATAACTTATACTTTCAAGTTCTTGAATTTGTCTGAATGGTTGGAAACGGTCCATAAAGAATATCTATTTATTTTCAATTTTCAAAATTTATTATGATATATCTACTTCATTTCAGCAGCTCTAGGGCGACTTTCATAAAAAAAAAAATTAATAGAAAAAAGTCGCATCCGAATTTTCAGAGCGACTTTTATAAAAAAAAATTAATAGAAATGTAGCATCCAAAATTTCGGATGCGACTTATACTAGTTGTAGCTTTGCTAGATTTTTATTGAATAGTTTCTTCTTACGTTTCGAGTTTGATTCATAATTTAATACAAGTTAAAGAAGAAATTAGAAAAATCATTTCACATTACGGATCATAAATGACTTAACCCGGGGGAATAAATTCTTCAAAGTTGATTATGTTATCATATCAAAGGAATATTTTTTAAACCAAATTTAAAACTATTCGATTAATTACTATAATTTTACGTTAGACTCCACAGTTGTGAAAATATATAATGAGAAAATAAACCAATAGTCCTTGATTAAGAATTTTTTCATTTAGTAGAAAATTATCGTCAAACTTTTACAAGTAATATTATTTTACGGAAAAACAAAAAAAAATGTTAATTGTTATAAAAACTTGTTTTGTACTCCAATTCTTTTTACTGCGATTTTATGATCAATCAAAAAAAATATCGGTCATGAGTCCGATAAGTCAGTATTTGTAGATTTGTAATAGGTTTCAGATATACTGTATATTCAGTACATATAAACATTTTGTAAACTTTTCAACAAGCGAAAATAGATATATATATATAGGTTAAAAGTTCAGAAACGCGAATTTATTTTTTTCAGCAAACGTGCATAAGCAATGCTTGCAATGAGTAAGGAAATCAAAAAAAGTTAAAAAAAACTCAATCATTGCTTTTTGATTTAATTTTCGTTTGATTATTTATTTTTAAATCAAATCATTAACTTCGATTTATTCGATTTTTATTTAATTTCGTTGGAATTTTATTCTTGGATCATTTAACATCAAACTTATTGAATTTCGTTGATTTTTTTATGTTGACTTTCGTATGAAGACCAAAATAAGAAATAAAAAATCGAAACCAAAGAAAATGAAATGCTACCACAGCGCAACCTCCAATCTAATTTATGTATCCCATAATGTATTATATGTCGATTGTTTGTCAGATTTTTCATTGTTTGTTGTTCAGACGAGCTCATGCTCTCATCTATTTATAAACGGCGTTTACCTGTGACATAATGTGATTAATCCTCGCGAATGATGTATGAATTGTCCTAGCACCATCACTATTAGTTAGTAATGGATTTTGAGATCAAAACCTATCTAGACAAAAGTTAATGCTTAGAGAGCAAAATATACAACCCATTTAGTTGGTATTAAATTTCTGAAAATAACATCAATGACCATTACCGATATAAGACACAAAATTACCAAGTGTCTTGTTATAAAATGGATAAAATGGGCAATATGCATGTATAAATCATAATGGCAACATTCCAAGTGAAGTTTATTAAAATAAAAAAAAAAACGATCAGAAAGATTAAGATATTATTTTATATATTGTCCTTAATAACTGGTCTATTATTATCAAAGGCTAAGCACTAATTTCTAATCATAAGATATTGTAATATTGTATGTATAGTTCCCGCTAACAAACCATCTCAACAATTATAAAAATTGGGGGGTTTTTTTTTCTCTATCTCTCTTTAATAACCACCAGCACCGGGAGCCTTTTCATCTTTTTTCAAACTCAAAAGGATCTCTTTGAATCTGCTCACATCTTTGGCGTGTTTATTAGTTGTCTTACTTTGAGCAGTTGAAAGATCAACCTGTTTACAGATGCGCTGCCAAGATGTACCAGAAGTAAGTTCATCTCTTTCACGCAAGAATTCTTCCTCATCTTGTCTTATAAATTTAAACTACATATTAAACAAAGCTTTTTCACAATTTAAATAAAACCAATATAAAGTAAAATAAAATTACTTGTTTTGTTCATGTGAACGACCCTTCCTTTCATTATATTCTTCGTAAAATTTGTCAATTGCATCACGCGCAATAGACAGAGTTTCACGCTTTTTTGCTTCGGATGTTTCGTCACGTTGGGCAATAATCTCCTTTTGTTGCTCTCTCCATTGTCTATTTATCATTTAATAATTTATTAAAGGATGTGAAATAAACATCAAAGCAAAAAAAAAATACTATTAAATTTACCGAATAATTTCTGCTTCTTCCTCTTCAATATTATCCGATGATAATGAAAGTGGAATATCGCCATTACTATTATTATTGTACAATATCTATAGGGAAAAAAAATAATTCATGAAAAATTCCATTTAACTGCTAAGTAAATAATCACCAACTTACAAATCCTCACCTGAGTATTATTCTCGATCTCTACTGGTGGGAACTCTGAATGAAAAGCGGAATAATCCGAAATTGAATTAACATTAGAGGAGTTGCTGACAGGGGGATTCAATGCGTCACTTGCCGACGTTGAGGTAATATCAGGGAATCCTTCAAGTTCATTGCTTGTTGTAGATGTAATAGTATGATTGGTAGTATTTGAGAATAATGCTGCATCATCGCCTAGGACCGCTTGTTCTCTTGCTAAAAAGTTAGCAGTGGGGTCGGATTCAAAGTTTGTATTTGAAGAAGGGGAAAAATCTTCAAGAGGAGGGAAATCAGAGTCGAAATTCGACATTGTATAGCTGAAATGTATTAAATAAATAAAAAAAAATAGTCTGTTAAGGTAAAACCCGAATAAAGTTTTTACGATCTTATGTAGAAATGCTCGTGGAAAATGCCGTGATAAAACAAAACATAATTCTACAACGCTATAGTTCTTTTGTGTGAACTTTTCTAGATCCCCTTGGTTTAATTTAATAGTAAGTGAGTTTGAGAAAGTACCAAGCTCGAATTACTTGCGATTCATGATAAAAACTCACCAATTGTAATTGTGGCAGAATTCAACCCTAATAGTATATTAAAAATTAAAAAAATAGTTGTTTGAAATTTCGTATAAATACCGCCCAATTAGATTCACGGAGTACAAACCCTATTACGTATTTTATCTGAATATCGCGCTTCTACTCAAAGATCTAATTCAATTCAAAATGGTTCTCGAGGCTACCTTACTAGTGTAAGTTAATTGGCCTTAAGTTACCTACAAGTTTACTAATTTTAAACACTGAAAAACTATTTTTTTTTTTTTTGTAGTTTGGATAATTCGGAATGGATGCGTAATGGTGACTATACACCAACACGTTTAGAAGCACAAAAAGATGCAGTTAATCTCATTTTTGGATCGAAAACAAATTCTAATCCGGAGAATACTGTAGGCTTACTTACCATGGCCGGTAAAGGGTATGTGCAAGTAGATCATTTAACGTTAAAAAAAAAAAAACGAAATAACTGATAAAAATTTATTATTTTATAAATAGTCCCGAAGTACACGTTACTTTAACATCAGATATAGGTAAAATTCTTACTGCATTACATAACATAAAAATTGGTGGAAAAGCTAATTTAACGACTGGGATACAAATTGCGCAGGTGATATTTTGTTATTTAAATTGACGAGATTTAATAACGTTTAATTTAACAAGATATAAATTTCCTTCAAAGCTTGCTCTCAAACACAGGCAGAACAAGAATCAACGACAACGAATTGTGGTATTCGTAGGTAGTCCTATCGAAACTGATGAGAAAACTTTGGTAAAATTAGCTAAAAAGATGAAAAAGAATAGCGTTGCTGTGGATATAATCAATTTTGGAGAGGAAACAGAAAATACTGCGAAATTAGATGCTTTTATATCAGCAGTGAATAGTGGAGATAACAGGCAAATTTTTATTTTTTTTTTATAATACGTGTACCTATCAATTTAACTTATAATTATTAATTTCATCTATTTAATATATTCAGTCATCTTGTATCAATACCACCTGGTCCGCATATCCTTAGTGAAATCTTAATATCATCTCCCATAATAGCAGGCGAAGATGGTGTTCCTGCTGGATTTGCAGCTGGTGGTGGGGGCAACTTTGAGTTTGGAGTTGACCCTAATCTTGAACCCGAATTGGCGTTGGTAATGCTCGTGTTTGATTCTGTAATTTTGTCATATATATATATATTCATTTTTCATTGATCAAGGTAGTCATATACTATAAACCTTTTAGGCCTTACGTATTTCACTTGATGAAGAAAAGGCAAGACAGGAAGCGGAAGCAGCTAAAGCTGTAGGTGCTACAAATACCACTCAAGAAACACAACCAACTTCAATGGATGTTGATAAAGCTGTTGAGGGAGGCGATAATCAAGATGATAAAACTGAAGATGACATGCTGGCTCAAGCATTAGCTATGTCTTCTGCGGGCGACACTCGTGTATGTATTATGAACTAAAAAATTCTTTTTGTCTTAAAGTCTAAAATCATTCTTTGTTTATTAGGAAGGAGATGTTCATATGGAAGAGCTTACCGAAGACGAACAATTCGCTCGAGCGATTCAAATGTCAATGGAAGGAAATTCCGTAAGAAAATAAATATGCTATTGTATTATTTTCATTTATTACTATTTTAAGTAGATTTATTTATCAAATTTGTAAATATTCTTAGGGAATTCATAATCAAGAATTTATGAATGCGGTTCTTCAATCTCTTCCGGGTGTAGATTTATCTGATCCACAGATTCAAAATGCTCTTCAAGGCGTTTCTGGAGATAATGGAGATAATGAAAATAATAAGGATGACAATAAAAAGAATGATGAAAAGAAAAAATAAAAATAATTTAAGGATATTATTGGATGTATTAAAGAGTTATAATTTCAAAAAATTTTCTGCAATAATTAAATAGTATCAGATTTATACAAATAAATGATTAAGTAATTTGAATGAAAGTTATACAACATAATTTTTAAATATTTATTTTTATTAATTTGAAATGATTCAAATAATTATTACAAAAAATATATGATTTATTATAAATTTAAACTTTTTATTAATTATTAAATATTGAATATATAAAATTTATTTTATAAATATTTATTATAAAAATTACAAATAATTAAATTTTTATTTTATTTTATTAATAATAATATTTTATTTATTATTAAATTTATATATAATATATTATATATATTATATGGGAGATTTGTTAAAAAAATAGGATTCTGAGCACTTTTTATTAAAATTTTAATTTTTATTGCATTTTAATTTTTGATAATGATCAAAATTTTATTAAAAAATGCTTAGAATCTCATTTATTTAAACAATTTATAATTTAAAAATCAAAATTTGTAATTACTACTTTTATATAATTTTTAATATATATTAAAATAATTACTATAATGTTAAAATACTTAAATTATATGCATATATAATTATTATATTTTAATTTATATTTTACTTAAATAGCAAATTATTTAAATAATATAAAAATTATATTAATATAAATTAAGAATTTAAATTTATATAATTATCTATTAAGATTATATTTATGATAATATTATAAAAAAAAATTTATTATGTAATTAAAACTAAATAATCTAAAATTATAGAACAAAAGGTTAATAACTTATATATAAAAATTAAATGACACAACGACTATTCCGTCTTACCTCTAAACCATTATATCAATTTCTGTTTATCCAATCATAATGTTATAATGAAGAATTATTCAAATGTTTTTATTTTTATTTATTCTTTTATTTACCTATGAAATTAATTTTTTTATATAAAAAGAAAAAAAAAAAAAGTAAACGGAAGAATGAAAAGAAAAAAGGGAATATATATAAGGGGAAAATAATAAAGGGGAATTTATATATAATCACAGAAAAAAATTAATGCGTAATATTTGTCTTATTTTTTTGTAAGAAAATTATATATAAAAGAAATTAACACACAAACATTGTATATTTACGATCTATCCTCACTTTTATGAGATAAAAAAAAGAAATCTTTTCTTCCAATCTATTACTCTTATCTTATCAATATCACCTAATTTGAGATTTTTACTCTTTTTTTCCCTCGAGTAGTATTTGATGATGAAGGTACAGGAGTATCATAAATGGAATTTGCTGGTAGAGGAAAATTATGAGAGTTATTTGAGTTATTGTTCTGATTGGTATTTTGAGATGAAGTGTAGGAAATATTTGAAATGAATTCATATTCCATGTTATCTACAAATTTTTTTAATGTGTCAAAGACCTTGTTGTTAAATCTGATATCGTCATGTTTAGCACGTACATGCTTCTTCATGGTTAAAAGTCGATTTTGATATTGAAAGATCGGTAACTTTGGATATTTAGCGATCATATAGGTTAAAAAAACAAATTCTACCGGAGCTAATCTATGATCACGATGAAATAATTCGGCATCGTCTTCAATCATTTCTTCTATGGTAGTATAAATTTGTTTAGCCAATGCTTTGAGACCTTCAGGGACCTGACGAACTTCTTTCAAATATTTAGTGATGGTAGCTGGAGTAGCATTAAATTTCTCTGGTTCTGTTTCAATCATGTGTAAAGATTGAGTAATGAGTTGGAAAGGACGAGCGCGTTTATTATCCATAATAGAAGAAAGGGTAGAATGTTGACTATAGATTGTGTGAGCGAAATCAGCCATTGGACTGCTAATCGCCTGAAGTTTTTCAGCGGGTGTCAAGGCAACACCAAGTTGTACGCGACTGAATATTTCTTGTTCTTGGTGCAAGGTAAGATCATAATACTCCACTAAATTATATGAGAAACAAGTAGATAATAGGTATGATAAAATATATTGAAGTGATATTTAAGTGATATTTGTGATTACGATCATCATCACCATCACTATAACTTACCACAAAGAAGTTCAGAACAATCAAACATTTCACGTTCTGCTTCTGTCAAGGAACGTCTATTATTAAGATTTCTATAATAGCGCTTGGTAATATTACCATCAGAAGGACTAAGATGAGGTATCTCATTATCCATGAACCTAATTTAATGCAATATTTAGTAAACCTTTTGTGTAACAAACAAACCATTTATGAAAAAAAAAGGTTTATATTACTTCCTAATAGCGGTGAGACGTTGCTTTCCATCAATGCAAACACGCATCCATCTTTTACTATCCAACTTTTTACAAGAAAAAATTATAGGTGGTACGTAAAAATTATTGAGTACAGAATCGACCAAGTGCGACTGCTTTATGCCTGTCCATACTATGTCTATTATTATGGATCAAAGCAAATACAAAAAGGTCGGACAGTTAGAAAACGATTGCTGCGCCACATTCTGTTCATTCAAAAGGTGGTTATTTTTTTTTTATTTTTATTTTTTTTGGTAAACTCGAACGAAACGGAAAAATAAAAAACAAAAATAATAATCACATATAATTTTATAACCATCCTTTGTTACTATATACACACCTCTTTGAAATTCAGGATTCAAGTCAATCATACCCATTTGTAACCAGTTATATAACTTATACATGGTATGAGTAACATTTCTTGGCTTTGTAAGTGCTTCATCCATAGTTTGCTCCAGCTTGGCAAATTTTTTTTTTTAAAAAAAAAATAAAAAAGAGAGAAAAAAATAAAAAGTTTTTATAAAAAGAAAAAAATTTTTTTTTTTCTTTTTTACTAATTTTTTTAGAAAAAGGAAAAACCTCTTATAAACTATAAGAAAAAATTGGGGGGATTTTTTAGCAATTGGGGATTTTTTTTCTGAAATAGGATATGGAGAAAAACAAGGACTTGAATTGTTTATTTATTTATACAAAAACTAATTATTTTGATAAAAAAATGTTTGTAGAAATTAATCACACAGTTATATCACATCATTAATGAATTCTTATATAATAATAAACTGCAAAAGATGGAAATAGTTAATAATATTATTTATATTTATTTATTTATAATAATATAATATTCAGGTCATGTGAGCAAAGCTTTCATAAGATTTACCATGATATATATTAATTCGGGCAAGCATTAATAACAACATAGATCGAGGTAATTAAAGATGAAAAGAGGCTTCATATTTGGGGCTGTGTTAAAATATTCTAATGAGGTTTTAATAAACAATGATTATGTATAATTTCTAGTAGATTGATGTAAAGTCTAATTATAGAATAATTATTAGGAATTTGAAATGCAAAAATGTATTGTAGGGAATCAAAAAATATATTTTAATATTAATATTGTTCTAAAAAATTACCAACATATTGTGTATGCGTCAAATATATTTATATATAAAATGATGATTTTTCATTCCAATATTTTATAATCCTTCAAAATCCGCGTAAAATAAAAATTGTTAATAAAAACTAAGATCTTCAAATATGAGTAATGCTCAACAAGAAAGCTTGATATTGGATGGAAGACATACACCACAGAATATTTCCTTGTATAGCTTTTGTTTCGGAATAGCATTTGGAGGATGTTTAGCAATAGGTTATTTCTCAGACACAATTCCACAATTAGGAATATTTCTTGCCGCATTAGCATTATTCCATGAATTAGAGTACATGATGACAGCTCTATTCAAACCTGATATAATAAGTTTAGATAGTCGGTATTTATTTACTATTTGTAACTCTATAATTCCTAAAGGTAACTAATATTTGTCATTTCAATAGGTTTCCTGTTGAATAATGGAAATTTATATCATATCGCACATGCATCAGGCATTTCTGAATTCTTGATAGAATTATATTTGTTTCCAAACATAAAGAGCTTTCGATTTTTAAGATATATAGGTAAGTTACTACTGATATTTATCGTTATTACCTGAATCATACTAATAATCGAATCTCTCCTCCTCCTTTTAAGGATTTGTTGTAATGGTAATAGGACAAACGGTGAGAAGTCTTGCGATGTGGCGTGCTAAATCAAATTTTTCACATACAATAGTATATCATAAGAAACAAGATCACATATTGGTCACAAATGGAGTATACGCGTATTTGAGACATCCTTCATATTTTGGTTTTTATTGGTGGGCAGTAGGAACACAAATCTTACTTTGTAATCCTATTTGTATTTTCGGTTTTCTTTATGCATTACATCGATTTTTCAAAGCTAGAATTAATGAGGAAGAACCTTTGTTAATTGATTTCTTCGGTAAGGATTATGTTGAATACAAAATGAAAACTCCAACTTATATTCCCTTAATAGATTAAATCGATCGCTTAATGCGGTAAATAATATATTTATACTTGTTTAATATACACAAAAGTAAAAAAAAAAGGGATGATGTCTGGAAAAAAAAAAAAAAATGTTTTTAAACATATTATTAATACTATCATCTAATTAATACTACAATAAATAAATTTTAATACCACCAAAATCGCCAATATAATACCAATAAAATTATAATGAAAATAAATACTAATGGTCCATATTTACGTAAAAGTAATTGTAAATTAAGATCACGTGCAGATTTCTTATATTTTTGAGATTCATATCGAAGTTGATCTGAAAGCGAACTCATTTTTTCTAATCCTTCTCCACGCCACAAGACATTCTCTAAATTTTTTGTCATAATATTAGCCACTTCATTTAATTCTGTATTTAATCGATCTAAATTGTGTTGTGTTCGTGTATTCTGATATACTCTCTTAGTCTTTTGCATAAAAGTATCTAAAAATTTCACATAATGAGTTATACTTTTGTTTTAATTTTCATTTTCATTTTCATTTTTTTATGTTGTTAAAAAGAACAAAATCTACATGATAATTACCAAATTTTACAAAAGCATAAGGTCTTAAATTCCTCTTTTCCACCTCATTCCCATAACTCATTGAGAATTCCTTCGCAAGTTCTTCCAAATAACTAAATGCAAATTGTCGTGGATATGACCGTTCACAAATTGTCATATAACATACTCCTTGCTGGATCAAATAGCTAGATAATAAAAACAATTTAAAATTTGGTAAATTAAAGAGATATTCAGTTATAAATTAATATATTTACTTACTGAAAATAATAATTTCCTGACTCGATGGAACACCTCTCTTCAGAATTCTCATTCATTTTCTTGAAGAGAAGTTTAGCTTTATTCTTGTAGTCTGCGAGCTCTGCTTCTCCATTCTGTTGTTAAAAGGTAAAGGTATAAATTATTTGGATGCTTTCTTGATTATCAACTAAATCGTGCGTGTAATTAAAATGAAGGATCGGATACCTGATCATCTTCAACCGAGGCTGCCAGGGGAAGTCCTATAAGAAAAGCAATGTTGGCTTCAAGTTAAAAAAAATAATCACTACAAATATACATATATTTTTCAAGTTTACCATCGGAAACGCGAGCAATTACTGTGTATTTAACCATCTTCTATTAATAAATCTAAAAGGAAAAAGAAAAGAAAATAAAGTGTGAAATACTTATTTAATCACCTTTTTATACGAGCAGACATTTACTCATCTGTCAAAAACTGATTGGCCAATAATTTGCTAATCTACACCTGATGAAATTCAGGTTATTTATGTATTTATGTTGATTTTTTTTGACATCATATCTTCCTCTCCCTCCATAAATAAATAAATATATATGTCAGCCTCAACAAATGTGGCAACTAATAGTTCGTCATTATCACTAGCCGCTAATTCAGGGAACCCTGAGAATGAGACTGAAAGAATTGTGCGTATCAAAAAATTGTTTGACGAATTAGATTATGATAAAACAGGTGTATTAGATCGTCAAAATCTTTTAAAAGGTCTTGATAGATTGAATAATCACCCTTCAAAAAATAAATATGCTTCAGAATTATTACAAAAATGTGATGTATCCTCGGATGGTGTAGTGGATTTTGAAGAATTTAAAACATTTGTCGAAGAAAAAGAAAAAGAATTGTGGAAATTATTTGTGGAAATTGATAAATCTAATGATATGAATTTACAACCTGAAGAGTTGGGAGTTGCATTAAAAAAGGCTGGTAAGAATCAATTACCGTGAATTTGACGCGTCTTTTGTTATCTTGTTGATCCATTTTTCTTTATTTTAAGGCATTAGTTGTACGCAGGCAGAATTAACGAAGTTTATTAAAACCATGGATAAAAATCAAAATGGTGTGATTGATTTTTCTGAATGGAGAGATTTTCTCCTGGTAAGCAAAGATTTAAATTCCCATTCTTCACAATTCATTTACTAATTTCTGCGTATTTCATAGCTTCTTCCTCGGGAAACAACAATGTCGGAAATTTTCGAATATTATCAGGTCATAGCTCAAGTTAGTATAGATGGTGAAGTGATAATACCACCGACCAATCCAAAATATCTTCTTGCCGGTGCAATTGCTGGTGCAGTCAGTCGCACTGCAACGGCGCCACTGGATCGACTCAAAGTTTATCTTCAAATTCAGACGGCATCACCTCAACTTCTTACAGCAAAGAAAATACATGTATTGGAAAGTGAAACGCAGGTATCAAAAAGATTGGTATCTTCCGCACATAAAAATATTATTAATGCTATAAAAAATATATATTCAAGTGGAGGATTAATTAATTTTTTTCGTGGTAATGGATTGAATGTTGCCAAAATCGCACCAGAAAGTGCAATAAAATTTTTTGCTTACGAAAAATCCAAGGTTGCCGTTGCAAATCTAATGGGAACAACAGATATTAACTCAATAGGAATGTCTGGACGTTTCCTTTCAGGTGGTCTTGGTGGTGTTATATCACAATTTGCGATATATCCTTTAGAGACTATAAAAACTCGTTTGATGAGTTCATCAGGTGTATCATCAAAATCTTCATCTGATGGAAATATCTTATTAAAGACAGCGGGTGGGATGTGGAAAACACAAGGGGTTCGTTCATTTTATAAAGGATTAATACCATCTTTAATTGGAGTTTTTCCTTATGCTGCAGTGGATATGAGCGTTTACGAAGGCCTTAAATTAGCTTATATTAAACGTGAAAATTCACTTCAAGTTGAAATGGAACCAAAACAAACAAGTGTCTTTGTTTCTTTAGGTTGTGGTATGATCTCAGGATCTATTGGCGCGACTATTGTATATCCTTTAGCACTTGTCAGAACACGGTATATAAAGTGTTTATTTTTATCCACATCATTTTCTTTTTAGGATATCAAAATGTAATTTCTTTCCTATTAGGTTACAAGCACAAGGAACTCCCGGACACCCACAAACTTATAACGGAGCATTTGATGTAATCAAAAAAACTTATGTTAACGAAGGATTACGCGGTTTCTACAAAGGATTGGCACCGTCATTAACAAAGGTAAAAAGAAAAAAAAAATAAGGTTCAATTATGATTTTTCGTTAGATATTAATAATTTTGTATAATTAGGTGATACCCGCAGCGGCAATTACATACATGGTTTATGAAAAAACCAAAAGTAAATTAGCATTAAAATAAATTGTACAATTAGGTTCTAAATAATTTAATAGCCATTATTTATTATATCTATTTGATAAAATATTATTTTTTAATGGCCAATTTAAATATAAAAATTTTCATATCCCAATTAATTAAAAATTTTGAAATATTTATTAATATTTATTAATTATATTATGAAAAAATTAAATATACTGTATATTATGTATTATTTTAGAAAAGATTTCTTTATTCACGGACCAACCATTTCAGACGCAGTAATATATAAACAAAAAATGCATCTTTACTCTTTTCTTTTTTAGTTTCTTATCAATGTGTATCAAATCACACTTTTACCCTTTTTATAATGGATCCCCAAATATCTATCGCCTAAACTCATGTCCTATTTGTTTAATATGTTTTGAATATGAAAAATTTTATGGTTTTCTTGTATTTGTATATTCTAAAGAAATATTTTGGAATAGGAAAAGTGAAGGATATTATATTGATTTTTGGCATAAATAATCTTTAAACTCTCATAAAAAAATCTAAATTAGATCCTATTTTTATTACCTGGTTTTTTGAAAATATTTCTTCTCAAATTAAATTATTAGAATATCAAAACAATGTTAATATTTGTCACAAGTGTATTATAAACAAATACGATTATTTTAAAAGTTTGTATCAATATTACAGATTTCTAATAAAGTTTATAATTTATAATATTAAAATTATTTATTTCATATTCCTAATTTATTGTTTAAAAAAAGCTAAAAATAAGTAGATGTTTCAGAATTTTTACATAAATTAATTAATTTAACAGATAATAAAGTTAATATATAGTCTAATTTACATTTAATTAAGTTAAGTCTTACTAAACAATGTACATATTTTTTTAATTTAATTAAATAATATTATTGACTAATTTAACTATTTTTACTCAAGTATATATTACATTAGTTTGCTTTAATCAATTTTATTTATCATAAAAAAAGTTAGATAGAGCTATAGCTATACCATTTATTCTTGAAATTATTTTAGATTATAAACAGAATAAAGAAGAAATTTTATCATGCATTCAATCACATCAATTATCAGAATCTTGGAAAAAATAAAAATTGGATTAATTTGTTATTAGATTTCTTTAACAACAAAAACAGATCATTATAATCTTAGATTTAATGAAACAATTGCTGCATTTAAAACTGAAGCAAAAAGGAAAAAACATATACAATTATATATTTATCAAGAAAAATCAGAAAAATATAAAATAATAACTTATAAAAGTGCTATTGAAGAATTAAATCCTTCAGAAATTTCATATAAAAAAATTTATATAAGTCATTTATTTATATTATTTTAATTATAATTTATTAATTAAAGTATTTTAATTTTAATATATTTTAGACATCTGAATTAAATATAAATACTTTTTAATATGCCAAACAAGAAATAATGAAATCCTTAAAAAAATATGAATATCATCTTTAAGGATGTTTAATATCAAATAATGGTTGCCCTATAAATAATCAGTATAAGGAAAGTATACGGAAATAATACGTTTAAAAAACGTATAAAAACAGTATAATAAATTCGTAAATATTTCCGTATACATGATACTGAAAATCGTCTTTTTCCGT